GTTATTCAAACAGATTAAGAAGAAATGGATAGTTGCAAAAAAACACCCAGCAAATTACACAAGAGTCTCTTTATGTTGCACCGCAATAAGATGAGCTTAATATCTTCAACACGGAAACAATTTAAAATGCTTTACACAGTCTGGAGACAGAACTGTAATTTGAGGAGCACAATAGTGGAGTGTCATTTTTAACTCTATGGCTCAAATATAAAGGTCATCTTTGAAATCATTTAGTGATTATAGAATGAGTTTGTTCAACCGCCAGTTTTAAACATGTGAACACAAAACAAAGATAAGTCTATCTGTCATGTGATGCCAGTCATAAAACAGCTAAAAGATAGTTAACAACCTAACAAGATGATTCAAGGCCAATGCACTCCCTCCTCCTCTCTCCCCTTATTCGTTCTTGCTCGCCTTCTGCTCTAAACCTTCTCCTTGCTTCCAGCAACTATGAATTTGTAATGATATAATATTCCCAGGTACCTGTCGCAGTTTTTCTGTCTCCATGGAGATTGCTCTATTATACACCACTGCAGCACCAAATACAGACACGGATAAAACTTCCTGAAATCATCAGCACCTATGGATATTTGCACATGATAAAGGCCAAATAATGTTGCCCATTCAAGTGGGTAGGAGAAGCATATAGTAGTTTCTTATTTAGATTTCCTCTCCCCTCCTCTGCTCAGTTTCTAAATCCTCCAGGGATATGCTCCTATAGGCATTGGTCACCCTCCAACACTCACCTAAGTGGCCATTCATTATAGAGAAATAAATACAGAATCTATGCTTATTTGTGAGTTGGAATATGTCCCAGTTGCTAGGAAAACTAATGCGATTGCCATCACATAAAAGCACAGTTCTGTTCTCACACATGCACTTTCCTCCAGGAATCACCAAATAGGTGATTAGAATAACAACAATAAATTACGTTTCTATAGTGCCTTTCATGTCAGGAGGCGAAGGGACTGTGTGATGCAATTCGAAGGGATGGGGGCAGAAAGGCTGATAGCGCGACCACCAATAGTGGGGCAGGCGGGGAGGGGGACATGAAGCAGGCCGGAGCCCGCTGATTGGAGAAGTGGGATCCCGAGCTAATATTCCCCTCTAGCATTAGACATGCTTTACTCCATGTGTTAAATGATCACATATTTCCCTACTCGCTTGCCAGGCAAATGAAGGATCGGAGTTTTGCAAATACGGGATAAGGGTCAGCTGGTCCATCTTATTTCCATATTTTTTTGAATATTTTGCCAACGTCCACAGCGTGCACATACAGTCTGGATCGAAGCCAAGTGAGAACAAAGGAACTGCTTCCAATTTTTAATACAATTAGCATGCGCATACAGCTCTGTGCTTGCTCGCAGGACTCATTGCTTATTAAGATTTACTTTATTGGGAGAAATGACACACAATGGTAAATATGCACTATTTCCCTGCCTGATTTCATTCACCCTAATCTTTTCTAAATGGCTCTGCCTCCAAATAGGCCCTCATCTGAAAGATTACTAATATGATTTCTAGCTGCAATGGAGCAAATTACAAAGGACACCGGGCATCGATAAACTAATGTTATTCCCTCTTTACCTAATTTATTTCAATGCACTGTATACATGTGTGTAATATGTTTTAGATCCCTTTCCTAGTAACCTCCAGTACGTCAATTACCATCTGAAAATGAAAGCTAGGTTAATGGTTCATTTACGCTCTTATTAAGAATTACATCCCCAAACAAATATCTTTCCACTTCACATATTGAGCATCAGAATATGAACAAAACTTACAGTGAGAATGTAAAACGTTGGATAGTGAAGAGGGTCAAACAGTCGGGTACCACACTACTTTTCTATCCAGGGACCCCTTCCTCAATGGAAAGTGCACATCAGATGAGTATAGAGTTAGATTAAAGTGGTACAATAACCCCTTCCCTCTCCCCCACAACCATGGTCAAAGAACACTGACTGTGCAGAATCATTGATATGCTTTTTTTCTCCTCAATCACAAAAACAGTGATGGTCTCAATGTTAAGAGTTGTTTTCATTCCTGGAACAGTTTCAAAGTTGCAAATATGAAAGATTAACAGCAACACAGATACAACCAAGAAACAAATCTTGGCTGCTGTTCACAGTTATGTTGATTTATAATCTCTCGGCATGGAAACTGCACCCACTGTGCAATTTTGCGGAGAGCTTACAGATATTTTTCCTGACCCACAAAATCACATGTTAACTTTTTTTTATATAATGAGAGAGTTCCTTATGTAAAACAAAAATCCAATTGTTTGTTGGGTCCCATTCTAAAGCCAGAATTTCTCCCACTTTCTTAACGCAACTTTTACAATGTTCAGCAAAGTTTCAAATGATCTATTCGTTCCTCGCCTTTTGGAGTTAGAGCACCACAGCTTTGACGTTTCGCTTCAAACCAGATTCAAAAACTATGCATCCAAAAAGTTTTAGAATAAATTTGCAGCCAAATTTTTCAAGTGTTTATATTAGTAGAATGTTGCCAGTAAACAGTGTTGATGTTTCTTCGGGGCTGGTTTCCACTTCCTTCTTTCTAACAGAGATCACACTCATAATTTACTGGTATTTAATACTCAACAGCGCATAATTAATAATTATTATAATTATTATAAAGCGAGTACAATGCTTTTTAAAAATTTAATAAGCTTATGTCACAGGAGAGAGGGGTAGAATTGCAACCACCTTCCGCAGAGAGCCGACTTATGTTCAACTCATACCTTTATGACAACTTTCAATTGTTCACCTCAACCCACTCACTCATTGATAACAGGCTAATTTGTCCCGCAACATGACTGCATTATATAGCACTTGGGGGCTATTTTCAGTTAAGACCCAGCCTCTTCTCAATAAGCAGGCTCAACTTGCTGAACTCAACAGTCATCCAACCAACAGATTGTTAATATTACATATGCCCAGTGCTGACTGTAATATTGCAGTCACACCCACAGCTGCGAACTGTGCTTTTTGTGACATTGATTCGACACTGAAACAAAAATTGTGACTCACATGAGTTTGAAAGAAATGCTCTATTACGTTCTGCCCCTCCACGTCCGACACCACCCCATCCCATACCCCCCATTCCCGCAAGTTTTACTTTCTTATTTTATACCGTAGTATAAATACGTAGTACCGTAGTAGTGGCTCACACTCAAAAATTGGTCACTATGGATAATTCCTGGTGAGAATGTGACAACCGTAGGTACATATCTCTAGCAAACAGTCAGCATCGGGGAAGAGGAGGAAAGGGTAGGAGACAGAGAAACATTATATCATATTAATCCTTAGATTTGATATAGCGCCTGGTCACCTCAAAGCGCTTCACATGGTTTTACTGTGAAATGTAGTGACTGCGTATTCGTAGGCAAACACCACAACCGATTTGCACGCAGCAACGTCTCACAGATAGCCATGAAGTGAGTGACCAATTTTATCTCTGTGGTCAACAAGAAACTCAAATGTGAAGAATACGGATTTTATGAATAAGAGTATAACATTGGTAATAGTGTATGTGTGTGGTGGGGGAAGGGGTGGTGAGGGAGGGGTATATGGGCTCTCTTCAGCCCACCACACAACAGCCCATGCACGTTGATAAAAGCTCTGTGAATCATTCTGTTCTGATAATGACACCTTGGTGTGGATTTGTGAAAAGAAATCTTGGTCAGACGGGTGTCTGACACCTGCGGAAATCCATCATCACGCTTGAGTATCAGGCGTAGGTTGGCAAGAGCCGAGGCTTGGGAACCCCGGAGTGTATTAGGGTACTGCTGGAGTCTAACCAACTCGAACCGCTTAGTTTTGTCATTGATATTGGAGTCTGGGGAGTTTTCTGGCTGCTTGTCCAGCTAGGACCACCCTAACCATGAGGACTATGACTTGTGGTGGGGTGGGGGGTAGCAGGAGCTGAGTGGAATAATACATAAGTTGAAGAATCTGAAGTTCTGAGCATTCAGAGCAGTTCTGGGGGCCTCTCAAACAACTTTCCCCTCCAGAGCTTTTATCAACGTGCATGGGCTGCTGTGTGGTGGGCTGAAGTTGTGCATTTGGTAAAGGAAAGAGTGAGAGAGCTGGAAGGAAGGGATGGGGTGTATTTTTTCTCCCCCATCCGTTATTTGCACAGGTAACGCCCAGATGGATGAATGAGATAAACGTGAGATTTCATTGCAATTCAGGGAAAATTCTCCCCCCACCACCACACACACACACACATACACAGAGAAAAACACCTCTGGCTCAATGGCACATCATGCTCAAAGTCAGCAGAGACCAGAAAAAACACAGCCTCCTCTCCCCCCCCCCACCACCTTTTTTAAAAAAAAATGATGGAAAAACCACTGAATATTCAGACAGTGAGTGTCAGGCAGAATCTGATCAGTGATGAAACCCAGGGAGGTGGGGGGGGAGAGGGTGCTCTCCCAGTGCCCCCTTGTGCAGCAGCAATCAGGCTCTCAGGGGAGGGGAATTGGCTGTAATATGTGGTGCAGACACATCTCCCTGACAATGTTCCAACCCAGAACCGTTACTTAGATCCTAATCTGCAACAGGGAGGGGGGGAGAGAGAGAGAGAGGGGGGGGGGGGGGGAGAGAGAGAGGGGGGGAGAGAGAGAGAGGGGGGGGAGAGAGAGAGGGGGGAGAGAGAGGGGGGAGAGAGAGGGGGAGGGAGAGAGAGGGGGGGGGAGAGAGAGGGGGGAGAGAGAGGGGGGAGAGAGAGAGGGGGGGAGAGAGAGGGGGGGGGGAGAGAGAGAGGGGGGAAAGGGAGAGTCTGTATCTGTGCCCAACCCCACAGCACAGAGAGAGAGAGAGAGAGAGCTCCCATTCCCTGGTCTCAACATTTTCCCAGGAAGATCCACAATTGCAACTGGAGAAAATTCCCCCTTCCTCCTCCTCCCCCCCCCCCCACCCTCTCTCTCTCTCTCTCTCCCTTTTACCCCGTGTGTCTCCAGAGGATGAAAAATCACAGTCAAAAAAAAATGTTTTTACCTCCAACGTCTTCAGCTCCTGAGTGCATTTCGATCAGGGTTTCCTCCAGTTTGTTGTTGAAACGGTTCATTCTCCTTTTCCCCCCTTTGTCTTGTTTTCTATTGCTTTTTTTTTCTCTCTCTCTCACCCCCCACTTTTATCCCCCCCCCCCCCCCAAAAAAAAAAGTATCACTGTAAGCTGAGCCTCTACCAGTCTCTGGGTTCCAGTCCTCTGCTCAGCATTGAAATTGTCCTGACGTGTGTTGTTGCCTTCAAGGCACTGTGAGCTTGGGTTGTTTTTTCTCTCTCTCTCTCTCTCTCTTTCTCTTTCTCCCTCTCTGCAGATATTACTCACGTGTCTGCAATGATCTCAGCTTCTCGACAATAATATCTTCAAAGCATAGAAAGAGAAAATAGTATCCGGTGCATCAAGGCTGTCCTCTTTCTAGAAGATCATTCACATCCATCCTGTTGGACCTCACTGCAGCCTCAGTCTGTCTGTGTGTGTGTGAGAGAGAGAGAGAGAGAGAGAGAGAGGAGGTGTGTGTGTGGGTGGGGGTGGGGGTGTTTAGTGGGGAGAAAGTTCTTCACTGACGAGATGACTGTTCCTCCTTGCTCTTTCTCTCTTCTCATTAAAAACCACAACTCTCTGGTCCTGCTCAGATTTCCTTTTCTAAGGAATGTCTTGGTTTCTGTTCCTCCTCATTCAAATTTGTTCCTCATTCAAATTTCGATTCCAATTTTGCCTACAGGATGCACAGACAATCCGCTTTACAGTATAGTCTGTGAAGCGCTTTGAGGCGTCTCAAAGGCGTGATAAGGCGCTATATCAAATGCAAGGCAGGATATTCTGTGAAGTGCAATTGGCTGTATATTTTGTGATGAACCATGGCAGCCAGTTGCGCACAGCAGTGTCCCACAAACAGCCATGGAGCAAGTTGAGTGATCGTTGGCCAGCACACTGGGAGAAACTCCCTGCTCTTTTTGAACAGTGGGATCTTTAACATCCACCTGAACAGGCAAATGGGATCTCAGTTTTACATAATATCCGAAGGACAACAGCTCTGACAATGCAACAACACCCCCCCCAGCACTGCATTGGTGTGTCAGTTCAGACCTACGTAATTCCAAGTCCTGACGTGGAACTTGATAGCAGAACCTTCTGACTCAGAGCTGAGCACCCTACCGCTGTGCTGACACACACTTCCTGAGTTGCATTGAAAACGTTAGAAAATTAACAATGCCTTCTGGTCGTACCAATCAGTCATGCACTTCTGCAGTCAATGCCAGTGACACACAAACATTCTGCCTCATGGGACAGATGGGGGTGGAGGGAACAGGGAAACTTGTCTGTGGAGGGAAGGTGGTTTGAATAACAAATAACGGAGCATTTGAATAATGGAGACACTCACGAATGTAGAAAAATATTCTGGAAGGTTTCCTCTATTGGTTTTAGGTTTTACAGTTTACCCTGTGGAGCTTTTCTCCAGAAGCGTGTGGATCCCTGACCGGCCAGCACCTTGGGACATCCTCCTGACGTGAAAGGCGCTACACAAATGTAATATGTTGTTGTAGCTGAGAATGAAGTGAAGTGCGAGCTTTGGAAACGCTTGTGAAACTTTTGAGACACTCCCTTAGTAGCTCACAAATAGAGCAAGCTCTATGTATACCACGCTCCTCTTGGCTATTTTTAATCCTAGAGGAATGATAACTGAAACATTTTACCAACTATTTTAAACTTTTATTTTTAAAAAGCGTAGGGACACAGTGAGATAAAGCCAATGAAAACTGAAGATCTTAGACACAAAGGCAAGACTTTGTCTTGTCCTGCACCATAGCTACCTTTTTTAATGTTTCTTTTCAAACAAAACTAAAGCTACTGTATATTTAAAATGAACTCTTCCCTCAGGTACTCCTGCTGTGTTCGTGGTACTCGGTGAGAAGCATCAATTTGATTTGTACCATGAAGCTGGACAAAAATGCAAAGTTTAAAACTCTTACTGACTCCATCAGCTCAGATTATTACACATCCTCATCTTTTGTGTCATTGATTTTATACTCATTTTCCTTACTGTCTCCTTGTCTCTTTCAATGTTACACATCATTAGCTGGTTGAGCTTCCTGTTCCACTTCTTATTGTTCTCAGGAATTGACTTCATAAACATTTTATATTGAAGACACCGGGGAATTTCTCTGCCTCTCCTTCCCTTCCTATGTGGAAATGTTCAGTCCAAACTCCCCCAGACTAAGCAGCAACTTGGCGTTGGTGAAAGTGGTGAATATGTCTTATCACTGTGTCACACAGGGTAGAAAAGAATCAAGCTAAGAATCAGCCTATTATTCTTACGAACGCAGAAATACAAAATTTCTCATGGTCTTGGCCTCAAGATCATTATCTTAAATTCAGTGTTTTGAGAATTTTGAAGAAGTCATGTAATGTAAATGTAATGTAAATCCATTGCCTCACTCACTACACCTGCATCCGCAACACCAATCCCAGAAAACTTTGCCCATAGTTAGTCATGTAACTAACACACTGTAAAGTGAATTGACTGTATATTTGTGGGCGAACGCGGCAGCCAATTGCGCACAGCAATGTCCCACAAACAGTCGTAGATTGAAAATGACCAATTTATTATTGTTTTGGTTTTGGAGGGATTATTATTAGGCTCTGTGTGGAGTAAGGAAACTTGCCCAAGGTTTCGCCCTCTGCCTGGAATTGAACTCAGGTCTCTCACTTGCAAAGCGAGTGCTCTAACCACTGAGCTACAGGCCTCCACTTTATCAGAACTTTATTGAGCTGGCCACAACTTTTCTCTACTCATTGCAACTTCACCTCCTATGTAATAAAGAACAGGTTTTCTTAAACTTTAGTGTAAAACCTCAACAAGGCAATAAAGGTTGTAATGAGTGTTGACTTGCTCCCTCTGCTGCCTGAAATATTTATAACAGGCCATTGTAAATGACCACTTGCTTTCAGACACTGAACGCAGTATTAGTACAGTGTACTTTAGTCAGTGTTTAACTGTACCTGATGCTGAATATCTAAATATCAGTCCAAATCCATACTGTCCAGCAAAGATCTGTTTGAATCTGGATTTCTGATACATACATATATGCAGCTGCTTAAAATACTGTAATTAGGAGCTGGTCAAAAACTGGGAGATTTTATTTAACTTTATTTAAAAGGTCTGATGGATAATGGTTCAGGAATGATTCACTCTGTACAGGTAAAAATCACTTAGTTTTTCCTTTTGCAAGTGGATAAAACCTGAAGGACACACACACAGGCGTGAAAAATCTAGCTAAACTTAAACACCAAGAAAAACAGTGGTCTTGTGACCCCGAAAAGGGGATTGGGTCTTGTCTGAAGATTTTTTTAGCACGCTCCAGTTAACTTTAGATGTACAATCCTCAAGCGATGGGTTAATATTCCAGGTTAATAAACTGTTCCAGTTAATAGCAGCCTGGTGGCACAGTGCACGGTTTGCTGGCCTTTTGCAGCATGCAATACAAAGTGTGCAAATCTCTCCACGCAATGAGTTCCAAATTGCAGCCAAGCAGACGGCAGGGAAGGAGAGAGAATCACATCACACTATTGTGATGGAAGATGCCTGAGAGTAGGTTACCTGCTGCCCTTTCTGCTGAGAAATAGTGTTGTGCCTGTGAGGAGCCATCATAAAGGAGAGAAAGGTCCAATCATTTATGAATAGCCTCAGTCTCCAGAGTAGTGGGATACTTCCTGGTGTCTGTCCTAAAATTACTTCTGACAACCCAGACTACATTGTTTTCTTACGAAAGCATACTGCCCACAAAATAGACAGTCAATTCACTTAACAGTATATATCCTGTAAGGCACTTTGAGACGTCTACAAGATATGCTGAGGCGCTATGTCAAATGCATGGATTATTATTGTTATTACTTTGAGTAACTATGCCCCAACCACCAAGTAATAGGATTCCACAGTTTGTACATTTAACCTCAAAATCTGAAGTAACATTCTGAGATTCTGTGCATATTTTCTTCAGGTATTTACCACGTACGTTGGTAGAAACCTGCTGAAGAACTAAGAACTTTTGCTGACATGATGATAAACCGATTGGAAAGCTTTGAAACCTGGAAGGGTTGAGATGCAGCAAGAGCACAGTAGCTGCTTCTCTTGTATATCTCTGTGCAGTCAAATACGGCTGTTCTCAATGGAATTGCACTCCAGGCCAGTATGTGTGTGTGTGTGTGTGTGTGCGCATGTGTTATGGAGAGAGTAAAACAAAAGCAAATATTCTGTGGATTTAATGCAAACAATGCATTTGTTGAGATCAACATTCTCTGTACTTGCTTTCAGGGGAAGTGACAATGCTCAACAGAACCCACAGTGTTTATATCTCTCACCACCCCTTCCAAATTCAGCTTTATCAGCTTGGGAGTGACATTTTGTTTCATGCATAAAAAAGTATGCAAGCGGTTTCTTCTTGCTAGTGTTTCTTTGCCTCACGTCTCGTAGCAGACTGGAGTCAGAACTGTTAAGAAGAGTTTGCCTTGCGTTATAATAATCCTTGCAATTGATGAAGCGCCTTATCATGTCGTTGAGACGTCTCAAAGCGCTTGATGGAATGTATTGTAAAGAGTAGTGACTGTGCATTTTGCAGGCGAAACGTGGCAGCCAATTGCGCACAGGTGGAAGGCATTCCATTTCATCTGAAAATACGGCAGCTCCAATGAGAGATCGTTTTCTCAATTCACTGCCTTCTGCTTTACAGCCATTTAAGGGGCATCCTCACCAGAGCTATCTGATCTCAGCCGTCACTGCCATAGTGAAGTAAGTGCTACCAGAAAGTCACTGTGCAAGGAGCAGAAATGAGAGGATTTCTCATAGCCTGTGATCAATCTCGTCCTAGCTCTTAAGCTTCAGTGACAGCAGTTTGAGAACAGAGTTGCTAGCACCTCTCATCCTCTGGGATGGCTAATGGTGGTGATGGGCCATATAGGACGTGGATTTGCAACATTTGTCAGCTGGGTAGAAGATACACCTCTGATTGCCTCAAAACTGTTGTATTCCTAAATGCAGTGCATCGCAGATGTCTGTCCCATTGGCCTTGGCTCTCAGCAGGTTCTGAAGTTAAAGACAATGTTTATGTATTTGAAACATTTTGAAGCGCTTCGCCCAGCGCAACTCTCTCTCTCTCTCTCGCTCTCTCTGGAAGTAAGATGAAAGCCCAGCTTGGGAGATAGCGGTAAATGTTTAACTTGTATTTGTGTGGCAGAATTCCATTTGCCCTGACTTCATTCAGCTCTGGTTTGCACAGGCCTCCAACCCACAAAAGGAGAGGACTGTTTGTTGCAGTCGCAAAGTACAAAAGCACCTGAAAAGAAATGTGTATTTGAGCAGTGCAGCAGTTTCCTCGGGGGTTGTAGCTGACATTCCTAACCACAGGAGGGAAGCACAAACACTTTATAACCGTCAGCTGAACTCCCAGCTTAGATTAGCCATGGAATTA